TATAAAAAATCTATCTATCTATCTATCTATCTATCTATCTATCCTAACGCAGGACTTAAGTGTGGTCCTTCTCCTTTTGAGGACTTTAATGAAGCGGACCCATGTAGAGATGTAGTATCAGACGCTGGATTGAGGGCGTTCAGTGCGCACCAGTAACCTCTCATGGCGAGTTCTTCTGTTATTGAGCAAAAACAACGGCATCGCTTCATTTTCTCGGTTTGTTGTTGAGGTGGGGGCTTCATTTAATCGCGTTCTTTATCTCTGTTGGACACAGGGGCGTAGATTACGCGGGGGACGCGGGGGACGTGTACCTCCTCACTTTTGATATCACGTAAATTCGTCCCCCGCACTTTTTCGGGCAAGTGTGTTCGCATAGAGGTTTTCAAGAGCCGGGGTGAATAAATATAGATTTAAATTCAAAGAGACAGGATATATATATATATATATATATATATAAAATTTCTGTCCCCCTCACTTCTGAAATGATGGCTACGCCCCTGGTTGGACATCAGATGTTTCTGACACCGGACAGCAGTGTGGATCGTCTAGCTATAGCTTCTTGTTCCAGTGCAATTTCGCAACGCATATATTTTCTCTAAACTTTTTCCAAATCGCACCGATCCATGTCGAGCGCGTTTCTTTCTGGCAATTAACATCTCGTCCCGCTGAAGAACACATCTCACTTGTTCACATGGATATTTATTCCTCTAAACTATCACCTGCTGTGGATTATGGAGTTGGTGCGTTCCTGCTGCTCATCGGTAAGATTGCGTTACTGGATCTCCAACTTTTTTTGGTTACCGTTTCTGGCGCGTAATAGTGAGTCTGTGTGTTTCCAAACGGATTAATTAAACTTCTTACCTAATGACTCAAAAGGGGTAGTTATTCTGAAAACGCAGTGTTTGGTACTTTTTATTTAGGAGAAACCGGGGCTATTAATTTACACCAATAAAACAATTTTTGTGGGTTAAATCAGGTAGAAATAGTTCTTTACGGTAATAATAGCAGGTTACCACTTTTTACAGTGTAAACCTCCAAAATCATCCTTTTTGGGTATACAAGTAAACAAACAAACCAACAACAACAAAAAAACAATCACGTGATACTTTTGTATGTGAAATTTACTTGCAACAATAGATTGGAGTAAAAAAGTTTGCATTCTCTCATTCTCTCCCATCCTTTGTTGATAAGAACAAGAAATCTATTTGTTTTCCTCCAATAATCGATAGAAATCAATGATTAGTCTCATTCACTCTTTTAATATTTATATAGAGAGAGTCAAGTTGTCTTACTGTTTATATCTTAATGGCAGTTTCCATTGTGACAACATGCTCACTATATATGCTGGGTTCAATTAGCTTTCTTTTTTCTGGGTAATAATGGTTGGTCACTGGCTTTTTGTTAGTGCTAAGATATTAAAATATTAAAATAAAACGTTGTGTCATGGATTTCGAGATACAGTAATATAAGTATATGTAATCGTACAGAGACCAGGCTTATTTTAACTGATCAGTAGGTTTAACTGTGAACAATGCAGTTGTGTCAGAGGCAAGTGAAAATGATGTTTGTCTGAGGACAGAGTAATCATCCATGTCATTACTCCAAGGATGAAAAGACTGATGGGTCTCTATCATCTTTGCAAAACCAGTCTTGACTTTCTCTTCTCAAAGATGAAGCACAACCTCCGAGACCTCCAGGTCACCAGAGCAGACTGTATATATCAAGTCTTTTTTCAGTATTCTATGCAGAGTCCAATTTTCTATTAGAAAATCGTGTTGTAAATGGCACAGTGAGACATATACGCAGAAATCTGGAGCAGATCTGTTTTCTGCTGCAGGGAGATCCTATAGACTCACATGTAATGCTTTCAAATGTATGATTACAGATGGCTTGTATTAGATGTAATCCACATATCCATCAGTCAACGATGAAGAATAAAGGATTTCACTGGCACTGCACAGATCAATCCTGACAATGCTAGGAACATTCAGCCACGTTAGCTCATACAGTATGTGGGGTTAGAACTGAAACCAACCGAAAACTTGCTTAGGACTTATTGGAAATTTCTCATGAGTTTGTACAGGATGTGGGTTTTACATTTAAATTAGAACATCAGTCAGTACTGTATGATGCGGTAATAGATTTTTATTTATTTATAATTTTTATTTAAATAAGCATAAAAATACTACTATGATTGACAAATAGTTCATCTTTTTAAATGTAGTCAGAAATGAAAATTAGATTTTTATCACATTACAGTAATAAGAATCAGTGAGGATGCAATGCAAAAAAAAAAAATCTAAAATATTTTTTACAATTATTTAAGATTAAAATTCCATTAGGCTATGTAAAACATGTTCCGTGGTTATGTGACATTCACCCCATTAGACCTTCATTGATTGTTGTGTAAAACATGTTCTAAGTTGTCCTTATAGCTTCAAATGTAGTGTGACGCTAGTAACTCCAAGGACATGGGTTCAATTCCTGAATGCATGAAGTGATTAATATATGCATACTGTATGTCTTGAATGCAATATAATTGCTTTTAGATAAAATGCCTGCCAAATTCATACAGTAAATGTAAGTCCATAGTTATTATATACTGCTAAAAATGCAGTCTAAAGCTGTAAAGCTGTGTAAACTGGTGATAAAGCATCTCGACAGCTCTGTGTAACTACACATTGCTGAAGGGCAAAACAAGAAGGTTATAGAGGAGGCAAGATGACAGGTTACTGAGATAAAAGTGAGGCTGAGACACAAAGTAAGGACACGAGAGACTGTTTGACGATGGGGTTACATAAGATTACAGGAGGAATTTGTCTTTGGGATTTGATCCGAACATTTGCTCCGAACAAAACACTATATAATAAGATCTGTAGGTTAAAAGGAGACTAGCAATGCCAGGAATGTGGGATATGGACTGATAAAATGAACCTTGAATGCAATGCATTTCACTTTGGATAAAAGTGTCGGCCAAATGCATAAGATAAATGCAGTGCACAATATGCACTAATATAAAAGAATTAAAAATCCAAATAAAATTCATATATAGATATAATACAGCATCTTGCATTTTCTCAGCATATATGGAAGAAAGTGTAAGTGATAAAGATGGATATAGTCAGCCAGTCATTATCACAAAATCAAAACACAGTATGTCATATATTTTCTGTCAAAATAAATAAATGGAAATTCAATTTTAATGTAATACATGGATTAAATCTAAATTATTTTAATGTGTGAGAATAAAGCGATTATAATACATGACAAGACAAGCTGGCAGAGGTGGACAGTAGTGAAGTATTTTTACTCCGCTGTAAAAGTACTTTTCAAGTGTCTGTACTTTATCAGAGTGTTTTTCTAAAGTTTAGAAAACTTTACTTCACAACATTCCAAACCATAATATTGTACATTTACTGCACTACGTTTCATATTAAATATCATTTAATACTTAATAACATTAGAAATCTATTATTTTCTTTCTTTTACTCAAGTAAAAGTCATTCAAAGATTTACTTGAGTACAAGAACGTACTAAATTTTCTGCAAGCTGGAATGCTTGACAAAATATTATATATATATATATATATTATATATAGTGCAGCAGCTGACCAATCAGAATCGAGAATTACCGATATAATTAGTGTTATACAAAGCGGGATGGTTAAGTGAAAGTGAAAAAAAGTGAAAGTGAAGTGACATGTGGCTCTGCATTTATCCCATCCAAAGTGCACACACACAGCAGTGAAACACGCTACAATGTGCACATGCATTATCTTTCAAAAGTGTAGGGTCAGTAATAAACGTTTTTTTTATTACCACTTTCCACTTGTAGTACATTTAAGTGTACTAGTGTATGAAAGAAGGGTTTAAGTGTACTACAAGTGGTAACCAGTGTTGGGGAGTAACTAGTTACATGTAACGGAATTACGTAATTTAATTACAAAATAAAAGTAATTGTAATCAGTTACAGTTACAGTTACTGAGAAAAAATATGTAATTAAATTACAGTTACTTATGAAAATGTTAAGGATTACAAAGGGGGTTACATCTGCCTAGAGAATAATTTTTACTATATTTAGTTCAAAATTAGTGTGTGAAAATAGAGCATTTTAAGTACATTACGGAAGTGCGTTTTTCATCTGGGTATGTATTTCTTCTTTTTGTCTTTCACATGCAGCAATTCTTTCCATTGTGGGGAATTTGATGGTTCTTGTGATGGCATACAAGCGGTCAAACCACATGAAGCCCCCTGAGTATTTGAGTGTAAATCTTGCTGTGACAGATCTGGGAGCAGCCGTCACCATGTACCCGCTGGCTGTAGCCTCAGCTTGGAACCACCATTGGATAGGAGGAGACGTCACCTGTGTGTACTACGGCCTGATGGGATTTTTCTTTGGAGCAGCTAGCATGATGACCCTGACAATTATGGCTATTGTTCGATTCATTGTGTCTTTAACACTCCAGTCACCCAGTGAGTTCCCCTGGGCTCTATCTATGGACCTATTTTTATTCTGACTCCTGCATAGATTTCTAAATGAGTGGTACAACCTCAGAGCTCCTGAGAGTTCAATTATCTTTTCTTACCATGTCAAAGTTCTGTTGAGAATGACAATGGTGAACATTTCAGAGGTACAGACGTTTGTCTGATGCATGTTATCAGCTACAAAAATAAAAAACTAACCTGAAAACCTTAAAACAACTGTAAAAAGGATGATTTTAACAGCTTTGCACCTCAAATAATACACAATTTTAACTGAAAAAAATGAAGTCAGGTGCTTTTATAAAATGATGAGCTTCACATTTCTGCTCTAATCGTAATCAGTTTTGTAATCAGTTTTGTAATCAATATTATGCCACAAATGCTGTTGATTGAGCTAAACTTGTACTAAACACAGAATATTAATTTGACCATACTTTTTAAATGGAATTGATATCGCTGAGACCCCAAATAGAACATTATCAATTTATTAAATGTATATAATACAGCCAATAATTTCTGATTAATTCCACTATAACATAACAAAGCAAGGTTTCGGTAATGGTTTGACAGAGGGAGTGATCTGGTTTCAGCTCTGTAAGAGGTCATGTTCTCATTGAGAGCTGTCCTGCATAGATTTCTAAATGAGAGGTACAACCTCAGAGCTCCTGAGAGTTCAATTATCTTTTCTTACCATGTCAAAGTTCTGTTGAGAATGACAATGGTGAACATTTCAGAGGTACAGACGTTTGTCTGATGCATGTTATCAGCTACAAAAATAAAAAACTAACCTGAAAACCTTAAAACAACTGTAAAAAGGATGATTTTAACAGCTTTGCACCTCAAATAATACACAATTTTAACTGAAAAAAATGAAGTCAGGTGCTTTTATAAAATGATGAGCTTCACATTTCTGCTCTAATCGTAATCAGTTTTGTAATCAGTTTTGTAATCAATATTATGCCACAAATGCTGTTGATTGAGCTAAACTTGTACTAAACACAGAATATTAATTTGACCATACTTTTTAAATGGAATTGATATCGCTGAGACCCCAAATAGAACATTATCAATTTATTAAATGTATATAATACAGCCAATAATTTCTGATTAATTCCACTATAACATAACAAAGCAAGGTTTCGGTAATGGTTTGACAGAGGGAGTGATCTGGTTTCAGCTCTGTAAGAGGTCATGTTCTCATTGAGAGCTGCTAGGGAGCTCTGTTACAGCAGATAGTTGTCATTTACACACAAACTCAACATGACAGTTCAGTAAAGCTATCTTAATAGAGTTTTTTGGCTGTCTCATGCTGGGAGACAAACACTGAATTATTGAAATGAAACTTGGCATGGGAATAACTGCTGTGGAGGGAAACAAATAGATTTCTTGTTTGTTCTTATTGCTAGACAAATGCTAACAAAGAGCTGGAAGAGATACCAACCCAGAATAACTCATTAAGTAGGCCCGTTAAATTAAACAACCACCCAGAAAACCCTAGAAAACATCCAGCAACCCATTGCCAATCACATGGAATGCCCTAACAACAATCTAGAAACCATATAGCATTGCCTAACAACCAACCGGAACACTTCACAGTCGCATCACAGTGGCTAATTTTGCATGAGCAAGCACTACTCATGTTTTCATCAAATGAAACAATCTATTATTCATGTTTGCATTTAGTGCCAGATGTCAGATTCAGCTTATTTGTGTATCTGTAATCTGGAAAAGCACACCTACATTGTGCTACAAAGGAAGTTTTAGGGTTTTGAAATTACTCCACTACAAAGATAAATATCTCTACAATAAAATTACCTAGAGTATCTATCAATATAAATAAATAAATAAACAAACAAACAAACAAAATAAAATAAAATAACAAGGAAAGACAAATATTCTCTGTTCTTTTAAAATAAAATAATTTGTTGTGGATCATCTGACCAAATGTGATCAAATCAAAAATATATGCTTGAGCATGAAAGTTATTGTTAAAACATGAAATGAAATGAAATGAAACAGTTATTGTTAAGTTATTTCTGCTTTAACTTTATTTTATACTTTTGTAAGTATTCATGTTTCGGACTTTCAAGCCACAGTCAGCCCACATGGTTCTATTCATTTGCTCCATTTTTGGAAACAAGCACAAAAGTATGGCACTTCATAAGCAAATTGCACATTTTGACAGCCACTAGCAGCAGGCAGTCACGATACAAAAAGCAGCTCATAAATAAGATAGGAGGTGAAAATTGTCATACAAAACTAGATTATGTTAAATTATTCTTAAAGGAAGACAATAAAATGCTAAATATAAAATAAAAATAAAAGAGCAACATATAAAAACTGCCTATGCATTCAGATCCCCTTTATTTCAACTTTAACTGTCTGTTTTTTTTTTTCCATAGAAGAGAAAATCAGCAAAAGGAACGCAAAGATCCTTGTGGCGACCACATGGCTGTACGCGCTGCTCTGGGCTATTTTTCCTTTGATTGGCTGGGGAAAATATGGCCCGGAGCCCTTTGGCCTGTCCTGTACTCTGGCCTGGAGAGACATGAAGGAACAGAGCCAGTCTTTTGTCATCACCATCTTCTTCATGAACCTCATCCTCCCAGCCATCATCATCATCTCGTGCTACTCTGCTATTGCTCTGAAACTATACATTACCTACAAGACTATGGACGACAGCAACCACATCCCCAACATGATAAAGATGCAGCGTCGGCTCATGGTGGTGAGTCTGTTTGATTTACTGTTCGCACCAGCTACACTGCTATTATGAAATAAGATCTGTACATTATGTGCTTACCTGAACGTGATCTGAAACTCAAGAGCATCAGAGGCTTTCTAGCTGACGGCTTTATCCTCAATTACTCATACAAGACGTGTACAAAACAGCAAGACAGATGCAGATGCAATTATCCGAGTTACTAGTTATGTTTAGGTCACAGTGGCCAGGCATCAATTAGACACTTCTTTAAATATTAAAAAACATATTTACATATGAAATATTTAATCTTGATGTTTAAAACCTTGATGTTTTGTGGAACACACAAGATGTTTCGCACAAGATGTTTTCCAGGGTTTAGTGCATGCATTCAAACTTACTGCCTTAAACAAAAAGCTGCTTAAATCATTTCAGTTATTTAAATTATGCAAATTACGCAAAACATCAGAACACTGAAAAAACTATTTGCAAATAAAGAAGAGAAGAATCCGAATCAAAAGAATCCAACTCGTCACTTCCAGGGAATCTGGCACAAATAAAGAAGCAAAAATGGAAGTTGAGGGAGTTTTGGGAAGAAATGGTCAATCGCCTGAGCAAATTATTTAGTCACATGATTTGCTGAGACACTGTTTTAATGCACACGTATGAATTTACGTGTGTTTCCAATGCTAGTTGCCAAAGCAGAGTTTCTCATTTTCATTTAAAGTTGATGTACTAAAATAACTAAAACTGAATAAACAAAAAAAAAAACAGAGATATATTCAACAAACTAAAAAACACAAAATTATATATATATATATATATAGAAGCTTCACATTATCTGAAGGTTGTTTAAAGACAGCGATGCATTCAGCATTCATATTGTGCATTGTCAATGTATTCACAAAGAGACTGCATGACACAAAATAGGCCACATTGTTTTTGATGGTCATTATGTTTTTCTCTAACTTGCCTCCTAATCTTAATGTCTAACAAACCTGCACTGTAAAAAATGATCATATATGTAATGGTGAAAGATATGGTAAAATCCTGTTAATTGGTGTACAGTAAGTTCCCTTACTCTATGATCTAATGGGGTATTTCATGTAATTTTACAGTAAAATATTGTTAGGCCAATATTTGTTTCTTCATGGGAACAGATTTGGAGAAATTACTTCACTTGCTCACCAATGGATCCTCTGCAGTGAATGGGTGCCGTCAGAATAAGAGTCCAAACAGCTGATAAAAACATCACATTAATCTACAAGTAATCCACATGCCTCGGTTTACATATGTATAGAACATACACCAAACATCATCTGCCCCCAAAACAGATCTGAACGTGTTATTCTTTGCTTTTACAGATCGCTGTGTTGATCAGCATTGGGTTTGTCGGCTGCTGGGCGCCTTACGGCATCGTCAGCCTGTGGTCCTTCTACCGGCCCAGTGACTCGATCCCTCCTGAGGTCAGCATGTTACCATGTCTGTTCGCCAAGTCATCCACTGTATACAACCCGCTCATCTACTATATCTTCAGCAAGACCTTTAAACAAGAAGTCAACCAGTTGGGCCACCTCTGCGGGAGATCCAACATCTGCTGTACATCTGATGCCAAAAACGACCCGGAGAATGCCATCTACCTAGTGTGCGATGCAAACAAGTCCAAAGCTGGAGCAGAGGAACAATCAATAGAGAAGAGCAGGGAGAATGAGACTCAACTGATCAGTGGGACCTGTGATTTGCACTCTTAAGAGTGAATCGGTACAGAACACTGATAGTGGAAACTTTTGAGCTATTTTTGCCCGGTTGAAGGCACATGGAGTGGTCCATGGACTCTTGAATGAACCTTTCATTCCACAAGCTTCAATGCCACTCCATATCATCACATTGTATGGCATAGTGCATTGCTGTGTAACATTATCAGTGAGGTGTTTAGGTGTTATCTTTCATTATAAAAAAGGGCATTTCGCTGACACATTCAGTGCACTGTTTCAGCATTCTAATACACTCAAATACATGATCTTTATTCAAACAGATCGCCAAAAAATGAAAATTCTGCAAAACCCATATGAATTTCTTTCTTCCGTGGAACTCAAATAGAGATATTGTGCATTAGTTTAAGCTTATGCTTTTATTAGGTGCATGGTGATTTATACTCCCAAACTTCTCAACAGCCAAAAAACACAATTAAAGTATAATAAAACTAGTCCATATGGCCCATGCGGTATATATTTCAAGTCTTCAAGTTATATGATAGCTTTGTGTGAGGCACAAAGTGAAATTTAAGAAATGTAAGATTTGTTAAGCTTGTCAAATCTGATTTTTTTTAATTTTATGAAGGTAATTGAATTGTGTCTATATATATATATATATATATATATATATATATAGACACAATTCATATATATATTACAGTAATTTTTACAGTACTTTCACTGTACTATTGCATTTTGTAGTGTGATTGTATATGTTTACTAATTAATTTACTACAGACTTGCTTTCCGTTCACTGATTTCTTTATATAGATTATATATATTATCATATATATTATATAGATGATCACATATAATATCTATAGATCAGTGTTACTACAGTGGGTCAAATCAACACACCAATTCCAACAGCACAACTAGTGTGACGTTATTCATAATTGCAAGTTTCTTATTCATGAATATGATTTTGTGTGGTCATTCGTGTGCTCTGGATTCACAATCACAATTATTTCTGTCTCCACTTGAAGTGCACATGTGCGTCCAAATTAGTTTTCATGGGAAAAAAGAAAGTCAGATTTGAAACTACATGACAGTGAGACAGGATTGTCATTTTCAGGTGAACTATTGCTAAACTTAGTTTTATAATGACCCATATTTATTTTTGGTGTGCCTGTATCCCCCTTATTTTGCCGTCTTAAATGAAAACATGTTGAATTGTTGTTTTTACCCGTTTGATTGATTTTGCCATCCTCAGGAAAGAGAAAAAAACATTCAGCCAAAGAACAAGTGGATGCTCTGATGAAAAGTACTGTGTTTTTTCGCTTCAATGACTCCACTGTGGCCATTACCAGGTCGTTTGAGACTGTAGTCCTTCATGTCATCACTGGGAAAGAACACTTTGCTGTAGGATATGCAGGTTGTTTCCCAGCATTGATGAGAGTGTTTGCACTGCAGCCTTTCACGTTTGTTGGGTAACTTTATGCTACTCCTGCTGCAAAAATTCAAGAAGCTCAGCTTTGTTTGATGGCTTGTGACTATAGGCTTAGATCTCTGCCACAATTCTGCGCACGAAAGATCATATTTTGAGCGCACAAAAGTGCATTTTGCACGTGCGCGATCTGAGTTTTGTTGAGATAATGTTCGTTTTACAAAGAAAAAAGTATTTCGAGCGCACGAAAATCAATTTTGCATTTAAAATACGTTTTTGGATGTGTGCAGACCTTCTCTTTTGCGCGTGCAACGTTTCACTAGCTTGCTCCCTTGATGCCCGCCCTCAGTGCTCTCTAAATGCCAACAGCTCGCTTGCTCAACACAACCCAGCATTACAATATGCCATAATTCCAGCCAATCAGAGACAGAGGCTGCTAAATTCTGATTGGCTGCCTTGACAACCAATCACAACATTCCTTCCGTTCCCTCCACCGCAGACGAGGAAAAAAACAGT